TAAACTCTCTCACGCATTAGGTTAGAAATAAGATAGTTTAAGTTAGATTTAGATATAGGTTAGATTCATCGTTGTATATTTTTATTATTTGATTTATTAAATATTTTGATTTGTTTTATAAAATGGCTTGGTTCCTATTAGACATTAATTTTCATTCAAGTTTCCTTAGTTCCTCTGAATCCCGAGTTTAAGGATAATGCGTGTTAATCCGCGTGTAAAATAACTGATTAACTGGTGTCGGGAATCCTGACTAAAGGGAAAGGTGATTACGCGATCATCTGATTCCGCATTAAATTAACATCCAAACTGTAAATGAACTTATTGGTTAAAGCCCTCCACACTCGATTTTCTTTGAATAGAAAAACCATCCTTGTTAGACAAACAGAGGGCTATTCTAGAGAATAGTTGCCGAGTAAGTGATACTAGAGTCTTACCACTCTATATCCACAGCTGAGTCCCTCACAATTGGTGTCGTAGGAGTGGGGTTACGAATCTAAAAAAAAAAACCCCTACAAAATATCACATTGGTGTTGCAGGAGTAAGGGTCTGAAGATAAAGGAAAAACCCCTGCGAAAATTTCATATTGGTATAGTAAATTGGTGTAGTAGTTTATTCGAATTCAAGTTGCTAGAATAAGTAGATTAATTGTAAGTTAAATTATAAGTTAGAAATAAGTAAAAATTAGCATGGTAGAGGAAAATCCCAGAGATGCTACTTTAGGAAGTATGAGTGGGATGATCCCATTGCTACCTAGTTTTTCCGGAGATATGAAAGGCATAAAAATATCAGAATTCTTTGAGTCCTTAGAAGATGTAGCGAAGCTCACAGGATGGACAAAAATTCAGATGTTAACCGTAGCTAGGTTAAAATTAATAGGCATTGCTCAACAATTTTGTAGGAGAGATAGAAGAATTAAAGATGTAGACAAATATGATGATTTTAAGAAACTCCTAATAGATAGATTTGAGCATATTCCTGCCTCAATTAGATTGCAAAGATTTTATGCATGTATACAACAACTAGAAGAAGATGTCCAAACCTATGCAGTCAGATTACAGGCGCTAGCGGCAGAAACAGAAATAGAAGGGGAAAATGCCACAGAAGTAGCTATAATTAAAAGAATAAAAGCAAAGGAATTGGATGAACAATTAAAAGTTCAGTTTTTAGCTGGTGTAAATATTCAAATTAGACAAAGAGTAATGTCAAGAGAGCCTGAGACCTTTGATCAGGCACTCCAGATCGCCATAAAGGAAGAAGAAATCGAGTTACTTACTACAAGAAGTAACTATATTAGAGTCATTGAGGAATATGAGCAAAACGCTAGTAAAGAAAAAGTAGATATAAATGAAATACAAGAAATTCAGAGACAAATAGATAACTTGATAGAACAGTTAAAAATTTTAAAAGAAAAAGATAGAAATAAATAATATGATAATTTTGAAAGGGAAGCATACTTCCGTCAAAAAGCTGATAGAGAAAAGCGAGATCAGTTTAGAGATAAGAATTTCCGTCCGTACCTACGAGACTTGTGCAACAATAGAGAAACAAATTTGTGGGAAGGAACATTGTCTAATGTTAAGACAGATGATAGACCTATAGTGTTGATATATATTAATAACATACCAGCAAAAGTAAAAATTGATGAGGAAGCAGAAACTTCGCTCATTTCGAAGTGAATTACTGAGAAAATAAAACAGATAGCTCCTGTTTATAATCGTATGCCTTTAATAATAGAAAATTCTCCTAAGGAAATTGTCGTAACAAGAGGAATAGCAACTCCTAAATTTAAGTTGCGAGGACACAAATTTGAAGCCACTTGCAGAATAATAGATTCAAATGACTCATATCCATGCAATGGCACAATTGGTAAAGATATACTAGAAAAAGAGAAAATAAAAGTAGATAAGGAGAAAAATATATTAGTTTTACATAATGGAAAATGGGTACACTTTTGTTCCTCAGTGCCAGTGGGAAGAAATTACCATAAGTGAGAACCATGGAGACAAAATTATAATGCGAATTATAGAAGGAATCATTATAGAATTACATTAGAAGTGTCCAAGTAAATCCTGATAGGGAATGCCATTGGAAAAATATATATGTTAGAAATGATAGAGAGGTTAAGGCAAAACGGAGAAATTATAATACGGGAATATCCAGGGAACGGAGAAATTATAATACAAAGAGATCAAATCCTATGAAAATAAATGTTATTAAAGCTGTTAGAGGACCTAGGTTTAGAGTCAAAGAGCATATAAGAGAAGTAAGAAGGAAAAGGAATTCATAAGAAATTCCCCAGAAAGGACAAATAGTTCACTTGAGAAAAAGTTAACCAATAGATGTATTAAGGAAAATAAATACGACTCTGATTTAAATACGTTCGAAGGGATAAATAAAGAAAATACACAGGAGGGGATATTAAAGGAAATGCTTTAACTTTTAGATAATACAAAGTTTAAATTTAAGTCAATTTTTGATACATCCCATTGTTAGTCGAAAAATAGAAAAGGATCTGGTATTTCCACATAGAGATAACGAAAAGGATTGATTCATATAAATATAGATAGAGTAAAAGATAAAAATTTACTACTCCAATTCATAGAATGGTGAGGAAAAAGGAAGCAGTCATAGAGCTAAATACATTGAATCTTAATCGAAGTTACAAAGCGTGAAGATCGATATAGAGAATAAAACAAAAAGGAAGTAAAATAACATTTGGAAAAAAGAGAGTGGGAAGGATAAATGAATATAATTAAAAATGAAATAGTTTTGGAATATGAGGAGAGCAAGGATTAATCCACATTGAGAATTTTGAGTAGAAAAAGCTTAGTGAGCCAATCTTGAGATTGTGTACCCGTAAGCAGCATAGACTTATTTCTACGTCCCTGGCTTCTCACAATGATGTCATGGCAGTGATGTAAAAAATGTGTATGTCTGTAGGGAGATTATGCTGAGAAGTGACAGAAGTTTCGATTTGTTTAAGTATTTTGTCAGAAAAAAAAGGGAGACCTTAGAACTTGAATGCACCTCGTAATTCTAATCAGTTAATGTAATAAACTTTTGCACAATTGTAGCCCAATCAGTACTGATTTAAAGAAATTCTGTTTAAAAAATTTTGATTGTATTTCAAGTGGACAGACAAGAATGAAAATTTATAAGCCAGAACAGATTATTGATTATGTGATGAATTGTATTTATTTGATATGGATTAGGAATGAATAAAAAAAAAAAGAGGAAATAAAGACCACAAATAATAAGAATGGAAAAAAAAAAGAAAAACACAAATATATCTAAAATAACAACAGTCTTCTTCTCAGAAATACTGGAGTGAGAAATGAATCGCCACAAACAAAACCTTTTTTAACCAGTAATTGAACTTAAACCAAACTTCCAAATGTTTTCAGCCTTCACCAAGGCGTGCTTCAGGTGCTGAACAGTTCAGCACCTAAGCATGTTTTGTTTGTGTCAGTCCAAATATATCTGATGGGAGAATTTCTAGGAGAAGAATTTTGAATATAACAAAATTATATATAAAAAATCAGATAAATATATATATATAATTTATCTATAAGTAATTTATACAAAAAGTGTTATGTATTTCATAAATTAAAACCAATACATACCTGAAGTATAAGAAGTATATAGACTATAATATGATGTTTTAAAATTGATACTTATTTAATTACAGAAAAAATTTAGAAAATAAGTAAGATGTATTCCCAGAAATATTAATTAAACAAGTCTTTATATGTATTTTAAATTTTGTTTACTTTTTATTTGTTTTTGTTTTTCTATTGGTTGTCATCTTTCTAAGATGACAACCAATAGAAAAACAATAAACAAATAAAAAGTAAACAAAAGTATGTGGTTTGTGTTTACACCTTTGCTAAGGTGTAAACACATACCACTGGAGCTGTAAAGGTTGTTTGAAGTGCTGAATTGTAACTCCTCTAGTGTTGGAAGACGTTTATTTCTCATCTTTCTAATTTTTGTTGCAAGGTCCATTTGAAATTGAACTAGCCATTGTAGTTAATTTGAAGAAATACATCTTTAATAAGGTTACGATCATAGAGATATACAGAGACAAAACTGGAAAATTCCCATATATCTTCAATTTTATATGCATGCATCTTTTAGCTATTTTTAAGAGCATTTTTCACTTTTGAGTTGTGTATTTATCAGTCATTTTAAAGCAGTTTTAGCATTTACATACAATGAGTGTAGAGAATGGTGTTCTGCTGTCAGCTTTCCAAACAATAGTGGACAAGAAAACATAAAAAGTTTTTTTCCTTTTCCTAAAGATTCAAAAGTGAGGAAATTACTTTATCCATTACTGATTGATTTATTGTTAAAAGTTGATGTAACAAATTATGTGGGAACATATTTTACAAGCAGAAATAAGAAAAAATATTATATTAATAATATGAAGTTTGGTTATAAATGCTTTATTACAAAATTATAAATGAATATTGAAATGGAATGTGAAATACATAAATTTTCTATTGCAGAATATAAAAAGTTAAATGTGTTTATCTTACTTGTGTATTCACATCATGTTTAATATCTTCAAATGACTAAGTACAATCACTCCTTATTTAAAGATCTATCATTTAACAACCAACTTAGACTTTTAACAAGCTCTTCATTACAGGTCCTTGTTTAATTTTAGTCATTAGTTCTTCTCTAGTTCCTGCAGTCAGTGATTATTCAATACAGAAAGCATTCACATTTTCAAAGGCTACATTTTATTCATAAAACTGTACTTTATTGTGCATTGCATTTGAAGAATTTGACGACTAAAATATTTAATCTGAATGTTTTTTACGAATAAACTTTAATCTTTTTTGGCACATCATTTTTATAATTTTTGCTGATTGTATTCTTACTTTTCCAACTGTTATACATAACCTACAGAAAGTATAGCAATCAGTCAATAAAATGATACCCAATATTTTTAGTTTTTTGGACTCAGGACCTCGAAATATTAAGAAATNCAAAATTAAAATAAGTATATGTATTTATAATTGGAATTTTATTTTTATTATATTATATATGTAATATCAGTAAAATAATTTATTCATATTATAAATCCAATATTTGATTGTATGATGACATATGGATGGGTATATTAAGGAAATTCTAGTACAATGATATTACAATTGTTACAGAAATTTTTAGTGCATGTCTCTTTAGAACTGCCAGTTTCTATATTCATAGTTACAGGCTGACAGCAAAGTTCACCACATCTTATACAATAAATTCTTCCATAATCAAATTTAGTTTCTGGTCTGACAACCGAAACAAATATTTTACTTTTCTGAAGTATTTTCATTTCTTCTAACTTTTGTTCAAGAAATTCTTCTATGCTACAATAATATGTCAGAACTTCTTCCAAGTGATGCTTCATTGTTACCAATGATTCTGGATTATATTTAAATTTTTCAGACAAGCAAAACTCATTAACCGAAGCCAATATTTTTTCCGGATTACGCGATTCAGTAAAAATATCTTGAAAACATTTAAAAGGTGTTTTATACATGCCATGTAAAGTAGCTACTGCAGTTTCCATATTTTTGTCTGTCATTTCTGACTGGAACTGTAATTCTTGAATTCTGGAAATTTTCAATTTAACACCTCTCATACTAATTAACACGTCATTTTGAATACTTTTTATGGCTTCAATTAAATCTTTTACAACGTGACCTTTAGCCACATTATGATCAACACCCAAACAATGAATACAAACCTTCTGACTGCATGTTACACACCAAAAATATTTTACAGTATTACCATGTTTTTGACAAGTTTCTGGACTAGATTGGTCTGATGATGATGATGGATCTCTTTGGTCAAGTTTCAAATTGTTCAGCAGGTCTGTAAACTTGTAAAGGTAATAATTTGTGCTTAAACCATCAATTCCTTTCCTTCCAATTTTGCATTCTGCAGAACAAACTGGACATACCTGTAAAAAAAATAATTTGCTTACAAAGAGTTTCCTAAATAAACTATGTGATTTTCTATAAAATTATACACCATAACCAAATAAATGTTAATTATAATTAAGTAAATTCTGCTATTAATTTTAATGAATTTGGTTATAAATCCAATAACTATTACTAAAATTATTGGATGTATAACCAAATGGCTTGTTTGAAAACATTAAAATACATGTACCAATATTAAATATTTCTAGACTGGTTGGTTGGAGTTGGAGTTTGTGGCACAAGGGCCTAGGTAGGCCAAAGAGTGCCAGGTCTTTTAGGTCTTAATATATATGTTCTGGAGTTCTGTATGTAAGTTCATTGTCTTCCGATATGCCATTGTAGGTTGAATTTGTCAGTTATCATCAGGTATATTCTGTAGAGCTTGGTCATCTGAAGGTGCATGTTGTTGAAGGTAGCATTCTCTGACTGTTTTGTACTGAGGGCACATTATTAATATGTCAGATAGTAAGTAGGGTTTGGCAAGTTGAGCATATTGGTTGGGTATCCTTTGCTAATAAAGTTGTGTGTTAATCTTGTGTGTTCAGTTTTCAATCAGTAAGTAATATTTCATCTTTCTGGTTGTTGTATATGTACAGTACTTGTTGATACAGCTGTATAGATCTTTATAGTATGGTCTGAAAGATCCTGCTTGATTTCTGCTGTCTTGTTTTGTGAGTTTATAAGCAGTTTCATTTCTTTGGAATGTCAGTATGTCCAGGAGCCAATAAAAAGCTATTGTATTTCCTACACATTTAAGATGTTGGAGTAGGTATTGTATGCTGTTGAATGCTGGGTGGTCTGTTATCTTACAGCAATTAATTGCCTGTAGTGCACTGAGTGAGTCAGTATATATTATAGTCTGTCCATGGTTGTGTCTTTGTACATGCTGGAGAGCCATGAAAAATTCAAACAGCTCTGCACTATAAACTGTTGTTTCTGCAGGCAACCATGCAGCAAAGACAGTCTTAATACAGACAAAAGCTGCTCCTATAGTTGTTGATTTTAAACCATCTACAGTCGACCCCTCCTATAACACGGGTTCCTATAGTTCGGATTCCTATATGATGGCGAAAAAATTGCGACGGTATCCGTACAAACATGGTAAAAAAACTCCTATAATTCGGTAAAACGTCATCGGGCAGCCGAACTACTTTCCGCCGTCCAGCACCATGCTACGGAGAGTTTAGGCGGGTATGTTGAATTTACTTTTGTCTGTACAGTATGTAAATTAGGTACCGTAAGTCTAATACAGCACTGTAATTTTATACATTTCTTGTGAAAGAAGCATTTCTTATTCAACGGCCATAAAAATTATTTATATTAATGATGTTTCGAAAGGTCAACAAATTTTTCGCAGAAAAATAACTTATCAGAAATCGCAGCCGCCATTTGGTGCACTGCTCCGCGACGAAAACAAGCTTAAGCAATGGCGACGTCAAACGGTGCACACTCAGTAAGTAATCCTACAATTTTTTGTTTATAGCATAGTTTATACGGATTATTCCCAAAAAATCATATGTGTTTTGGAAATGTTGAGTCAAATTAGTCTAGAATCGATTAATTTTATGGAAGAAAACCTTTCAAATAGCCGTAGTCCGTAAACTTCACACGTGTCGGGCTGCGATTGGCTCATGTATTCAAGGATTCCTACAATGTGAAATTCATATAACGTGGAACGTATCTACGCATTATAGGGAGGTCTACTGTAAATTTAAAACTTCTCTGTAATAAAGTTCAAACTTTTACAAAGTTGTAATTCTATAGTCATAACTTTATAAAACTGATATAAAGTTATAGATATAAAAAATTATCTTACAAAAATTATATATTAAATTACAATCAAATAATTACATACACTGAACCAATTTACGGTGTGGTATGATAAACAATGAAAAAATAACGAAAAAAAGGAATCTTTTCGAACCCTTTCTGGGCTCTTCATCAGGTTCCTACAGTTTTAGCTCATAAATTCGAATAATGAATGTCGTTCAAAAAAGTTCGATCTTGAGTTCGAATCGTTCTTTTAAAATTATACGATGCGCATGCGTGCCGAGTCTGCCTACTCAGATATAACGGGCGGCTAAATCGTGTTGTGAATCAACTCTTGCCAGGCCATCAACAAAAGCATCTCCTCTTTAAAATTTATGCACATAGTTTTGATAGAGGCTTTAAAGATGTGCATCACCTCTAACCATTTGAGATGATCATTGGGAGGCGCACCTAGGAGGAGATTGGCCCGAGTAAAGTCGGCAACTATTTCCGGATCCNATAAATGAATATAATTAAAAATGAAATAGTTTTGGAATATGAGGAGAGCAAGGATTAATCCACATTGAGAATTTTGAGTAGAAAAAGCTTAGTGAGCCAATCTTGAGATTGTGTACCCGTAAGCAGCATAGACTTATTTCTACGTCCCTGGCTTCTCACAATGATGTCATGGCAGTGATGTAAAAAATGTGTATGTCTGTAGGGAGATTATGCTGAGAAGTGACAGAAGTTTCGATTTGTTTAAGTATTTTGTCAGAAAAAAAAGGGAGACCTTAGAACTTGAATGCACCTCGTAATTCTAATCAGTTAATGTAATAAACTTTTGCACAATTGTAGCCCAATCAGTACTGATTTAAAGAAATTCTGTTTAAAAAATTTTGATTGTATTTCAAGTGGACAGACAAGAATGAAAATTTATAAGCCAGAACAGATTATTGATTATGTGATGAATTGTATTTATTTGATATGGATTAGGAATGAATAAAAAAAAAAAGAGGAAATAAAGACCACAAATAATAAGAATGGAAAAAAAAAAGAAAAACACAAATATATCTAAAATAACAACAGTCTTCTTCTCAGAAATACTGGAGTGAGAAATGAATCGCCACAAACAAAACCTTTTTTAACCAGTAATTGAACTTAAACCAAACTTCCAAATGTTTTCAGCCTTCACCAAGGCGTGCTTCAGGTGCTGAACAGTTCAGCACCTAAGCATGTTTTGTTTGTGTCAGTCCAAATATATCTGATGGGAGAATTTCTAGGAGAAGAATTTTGAATATAACAAAATTATATATAAAAAATCAGATAAATATATATATATAATTTATCTATAAGTAATTTATACAAAAAGTGTTATGTATTTCATAAATTAAAACCAATACATACCTGAAGTATAAGAAGTATATAGACTATAATATGATGTTTTAAAATTGATACTTATTTAATTACAGAAAAAATTTAGAAAATAAGTAAGATGTATTCCCAGAAATATTAATTAAACAAGTCTTTATATGTATTTTAAATTTTGTTTACTTTTTATTTGTTTTTGTTTTTCTATTGGTTGTCATCTTTCTAAGATGACAACCAATAGAAAAACAATAAACAAATAAAAAGTAAACAAAAGTATGTGGTTTGTGTTTACACCTTTGCTAAGGTGTAAACACATACCACTGGAGCTGTAAAGGTTGTTTGAAGTGCTGAATTGTAACTCCTCTAGTGTTGGAAGACGTTTATTTCTCATCTTTCTAATTTTTGTTGCAAGGTCCATTTGAAATTGAACTAGCCATTGTAGTTAATTTGAAGAAATACATCTTTAATAAGGTTACGATCATAGAGATATACAGAGACAAAACTGGAAAATTCCCATATATCTTCAATTTTATATGCATGCATCTTTTAGCTATTTTTAAGAGCATTTTTCACTTTTGAGTTGTGTATTTATCAGTCATTTTAAAGCAGTTTTAGCATTTACATACAATGAGTGTAGAGAATGGTGTTCTGCTGTCAGCTTTCCAAACAATAGTGGACAAGAAAACATAAAAAGTTTTTTTCCTTTTCCTAAAGATTCAAAAGTGAGGAAATTACTTTATCCATTACTGATTGATTTATTGTTAAAAGTTGATGTAACAAATTATGTGGGAACATATTTTACAAGCAGAAATAAGAAAAAATATTATATTAATAATATGAAGTTTGGTTATAAATGCTTTATTACAAAATTATAAATGAATATTGAAATGGAATGTGAAATACATAAATTTTCTATTGCAGAATATAAAAAGTTAAATGTGTTTATCTTACTTGTGTATTCACATCATGTTTAATATCTTCAAATGACTAAGTACAATCACTCCTTATTTAAAGATCTATCATTTAACAACCAACTTAGACTTTTAACAAGCTCTTCATTACAGGTCCTTGTTTAATTTTAGTCATTAGTTCTTCTCTAGTTCCTGCAGTCAGTGATTATTCAATACAGAAAGCATTCACATTTTCAAAGGCTACATTTTATTCATAAAACTGTACTTTATTGTGCATTGCATTTGAAGAATTTGACGACTAAAATATTTAATCTGAATGTTTTTTACGAATAAACTTTAATCTTTTTTGGCACATCATTTTTATAATTTTTGCTGATTGTATTCTTACTTTTCCAACTGTTATACATAACCTACAGAAAGTATAGCAATCAGTCAATAAAATGATACCCAATATTTTTAGTTTTTTGGACTCAGGACCTCGAAATATTAAGAAATGAAAAAAAAAAAAAAAAAAACGAATGGTGTGTGTGTGCACAATTTTGTTCACCCACTTTGATGTTTAGTAACTCCTGTGATTTTTTCAAAATTTCTGGAATTTTGTGTATTAGAGAGATTTTAGTGGTTAAAGGTCAAAGGATTGGGATATAAAGAGGGTCAGGTGTTATATCTCAAGTGCGAACAGAATTGTTATTAGCATTTACAATTTTTTTTGGTGGACTTTTATTTTTATGGGTAATAAAACCCATAAAAAAAAAAGGGTCCACCAGTGACTAAGTGGAAAAAAATTCACTGAACACTGGTGGTTTGTCATGGTTCATGCCCAACCAACAAATTAACCACACAACTTTCTTATTTTTCTTCACATGCGTAACATCCAAATAGGGCCTAGTTTCCAATAGAAAAACCACTCGGGAGGTACTTTTCTTGGCACCTGTCATGCTACCATATCCCATTGAATTTATAAGGTACAGTAATATAGATTGGATTCAAGCTCAGAAGTTCTAAGAACAGCCAACTAATAATACATGGCAACGGGTAAGATTCAAGCTCCGAACAAAAGGTAACAAAGAATCACACCACCAGAATTGTCGATCCTTCGCAAGATATTTGTCTCCAAAGGTCAGTTTTTAACATGTATCAGCCTACCGCCTTTTCCACGCGCCTCGGTGCCAACCATCACTCGCACCTCGGCATCCGGGCGGGGGCAAACCTCCGCACCCCGTAAAATTATATAACATCGAGTACACCGCGAATGGTCAAGAGGACTACTCAAAGCCGGCACAGTCGCGCGGGCTAAATCGTTAAACGCGAGTCTTCTGGCATCCCGTCAACCAAAAACAACCTTACATTTACAAGTTAATTTACGAATGCACGCACGTATATATAAATACACGCGCACGGGATTCAAAAACTCTCTCCGTATGCCGCGGTTGCTCCTTTTGGTTCATTAGACATTTATTGTTCGTACGGGGGAGGGCTGCCCTTTGGGGGGGGTGGCGACCCCCTCATTCGGAGGGTAAATCTTACCCTCCGAATGAGGGTAAGATTTACCTTATATTCGGTTCGTTCATTAACTTATATAAATGAACGAACCGAAACAATTTCGATTTTTAATATACTTACCAACGTATTCTGATTTTGTTCGTAAAATATGGAGAGACATTTCCGACAGAAAGTGTGATGACAAGAGAGTAATTTTGGTAAATATTCAGCTTCGTCGAACTGATTAAAACAAATTGTACAACAGAAAAGATCTGCCATCGATGCCTCCGAGATCGAACATTCAGCAACGCGACTTATCAAACCAGCCATATTACGAAAAAGACAGTTCTACGATTAAAAAAAAAAAAAAAAACAATAGCGGAAATAACTAGTTTCGCTCTTAAGTTCTTCTCCTCCTATTAGTTGAACCAACGCCACCTGTGTTATAATAAGTGGCACCATACAACGCCACCTAGGAATAGGTGGCGTTGCACCATACCGATTATATATACATTTTTATTAATCAAAATGTTATCGATATGGCGCCCTCCTTCGGTCACTAATAATTTTTTTGTTTTTCTAATTAGAATTATATTTACTAAAATAATACTTACGGAGCCGCAAGTTACGTTTTTTTAAAATGATCCTAACATGTGTTTTTTTTTTGTTTTTTTTTTACTTACTTTTAATATTTTAAGTATTTTAATAAAAAGTATAAAAATACAGTAGAGTCTCGAAAACTCGGCATTCGATAACCCGGCAGTCCGGATAACTCGGCCACACCCTGGCAGGGCAAAAAAAAAAATCCTTAGTTAATTAATTTTTATTATAGACAGCTTTATGCCTCATAAAGTATTTTTCTCAGGTTTGTCTTATCGGGTAAATTACTGTACACGGTGTATTCATTAATTTTCATTATCATGTAGTAAAGGCTCTATGCCTTCACAAAGGACGTACTTTTCCTTTGTTTAAGGGTATATGGGCAGTTTATTCTCTGTTGTATTCTCAAGTGAACAATACATACAAGTACAGTACAGTATTTTCTGAGGAAACACTCTTCCTAATTTTTTTAAACCCCATTCCCGATAACCCGGCATTTTCACAAACTCGGCCACCCTTCGGTCCACATTAGGCCGAGTTTTCGAGACTCTACTTGTACTATTTTAGATGCGGTTTTTTGCGTTTTTGATTGTGTTTTAATAGGTACGTCACGAGAATGTACTGTACACTAAAGCTTAGTTCACACTGAGCACGATGTGGCAGTGCGCCATGTATTTTGTATATACAGTAGTTTATACTTTATTTTAATTAGCTTTATTTTTCTTTCTACGTTCCTTCCTTTCCCCCTTTTTTCTCCTTTTTTCGTTCTATGGTCTAATCTCTATGGAGAATCTCTCCCCGAAATTCCTTTACTTATTGGCTATCGAAAACACCCTAAAGGCTGGTATACACGGTAAGGAAATCCTCAAAGGATGTGCTTAACAGACGAAAAAAACTCTGATATAACTGGCTGGATCGAACATAGTAATTTACAAAACTTATTAAAATATCTCCCAACGTATAAAGAATTATTTTTATTTAAAAATGGATAGATAGAAAAAAAATCACGGTTAATCCTCAAAGGATTTCCTTCCCGTGTATAACAGCCTTAAAACAATGGTAGGGGTGAGGTAAGAGGAGAAGTAAGGGAGACGAGAGGAAGGAATGAAGTGAGAAGGAGCGGGAGAAGGTTTTTGGAGTGTACATGAGACGAAGGGAGAATCTGAGAGACGGACAAAGAAATATCCGTGATAGACCCACAGAAATTAAGAACGAATCTTCGCATCGTAACCGCCGACAGTTGTGTGACTCGAAGGAAAAAAGGGAGATCCTTCCAACTTTAAGTAAGACCCTCACTAAGGACATTGCAAAGAGAAACGATCTTCGAAGGCCTTACATACAAGCATTGGGTACCCATTTTCTGAGTTCTAACTTTCCTTTACCTATCCCCTATCTTCTTACATTAATATTATTACACTAATATATTAATATTAGTTTAAGTCTTATTTGTTATTAGTGTTTAAGATAGATTTAGATTTTCGCGCGATGATTTTCAATAACGGTTCTTTATGTCGTGTTCTATGATTCGGGATTTTGTTTGTGTCAGTAGCGTGCCGTCATTAGAAGCGGTGGATGCGCCGCTTCCCTCGTATTTTCTAAAAAATAAATACATATTAATTTTAATTATATGAAAATAATCACACAATATTTTATTATAACCGCATTATGTATCTTATTACAAATTTCTATACTACACCAACCTCACCCGGTTTAGCCGGTGGAAGCCTTGGACCTTGGGTGGCTGCTACACGTATAACGCATCCAGTTCTATCCAGGACCGGTTCTGGGCTTTTATATCACTCACGGATTTCAATGTTAAACCATTGATATTACGATTTCGTATGTCCCAACTGTAAGGGGATGTAGAAAAAAACGTGTACAATTCTTGTATAATGTTAAAAAATTAACCGTTACTTTGACAGCGTCATTTACAACTAAATTCAATGAATGAGAGAGATGCACGAGGTACAGAAAAAGCTCTAGAATTTATTTTCCTTAAATTTACGATTTACGTATCCGTTGTAAAAATTTGTCTTTCTACTTTTTTCCCGAGACTACAAATATTCGAGTACAAAGTAATTGGTTTCTACTTAAGAAGTAGTTAAATAATTAAGCAATTAAAGACATAAATAAAACCCTGACGAAAGAGCCGGAATATTACTTAAAAGCTTAACCGACCCAATCTCTAGCCGAGTACAGTGGGGACTGATTTCTTCGTATTATTACACGTAATTTAAACAGAAATTTTTCCAGTTCGACGAGAATGACCGAAAAGTTGTAAATTTTGGAAATTTCCGTGGACAACACCTGGTCCTAAAACGAATTAGTTAGAAAACAAACGACGGACAATCTATTAAGTTTAACATATGTAGATTTTTACGGCTATGGTGAGAAACGTTTAAAATTTACAACCACCCCGTCGCGTCCTTTGAGATATGCTAGTGATGCGACAAAAGGGGCATTTGACATTGACCGGTATGGGCATTCTCGGGATTTGGAAGCCCGCGTGCATGCACTCATCGCACACTTAGCAGGACCGTCTCTGATTCCACTCGTAGGGAGCTCTTTGACTAAGTGGTTAAGATTTAAAAATAAGGTTTTATGTTATTTTTATGTACGTATTATTACAAAGCTATATTTAATTATAATTTTCTTTAAAAGTATATTCGTACAATCGAAGAATATTTTGTACCAGGTATGGATATCCACCACACATTTTATTTCACCGAGGAAGTTTTTATTATTTTATTTTTAATTTTAGCCCTTATATTGTGGCTAGCGATTCAAAATGTAATTGCGATATTGAAAATTTATTTTTAAAAAGTTTTGGTTCGAGATCGTAAAATGAAAAAGAAAACATTATTAAAAGAGAAAGGCCAATGCCTAAAGTTAAATATAGTCTAAACATTTCAATAAAAAAATTTGTTCGATATTTTCGCGATAAAATGTCTGTGTAAATGCATAAAAATGCAAGAATTGTTTTGTTGGCTCGCCTACTATTTTCGAATGAAATTAGGATGTGGAATAAGAATGGCTTTGACAATTTAGCTGGCAAAAGACACGAAAAATCGTCGATTCTTTCGTATTTGAAGCGGAATAGAATTTAACATTAGTAAATAATATAAAATAAATATTGAAAATTATAACGAGATAGTTACGGCTAATAGATATATCTAAATTAACAGATGTTATATGTTTTTATCAAAGCGAGAATCGGCATTTAGAGGTCGTAGGGAATCTATTGAATCTAATAACAGAGGTAATTATACTGAATTGTTTATTTATTACTTACGTCAGATAAATAATCTATTAAAAATACATTTAAAGAATTAACTGATTGCCCCTGGAAGTCGGCTTCTTACATAAGCACAGCTTCCCTATCATCAAATGTCATGGCACGCCACTGGTTTGTGTAACCTTGTTCGCGATTCTGATTGTTTCTAACTGTCGGGACATAAAGTTAGCACTGGCATCCTTAACGAAGCCTGTAGTTAAGCTTCCAACCTTAATTAAAGTTGTCCTATTTGTCGTACTTTTCAACGTTTCTTCCTTAAAGATGAAAACTACACACTTTCACAACGATTCGCTAGCGAAAGCGAAAAACAGAGCGCATAACCCGTGAAACAAGTCATGTTTGACCGGTTATTCGCTCTATTTTTCGCTTTCACTAGCGAATCGCGCTCAGTGTGAACTAAGCTTTAAGTTTAACATACGTATATTTTTACAGCTATGGTGAGAAACGTTTAAAATTTACAACAACCCCGTCGCGTCCTTTGAATTGTACTAGTGATACGACAAGAGGTATTTGACATTGACCGGTCTCTGATTCCATCCATTAGCCACTCGTAGGGAATTATTTGACTAAGTGGATTAAAGTAAATAAGGCGGAGAGAGATGATCTCGTAATCACCCTTCTCCTTGTCAGAATTCCATACACCCGTTAAACTATTAGTTCTTGATTTAACTCGTTGTTACTTACAAAAATGTTTATTAGGGGGTTGCGTTGAGTGGAGGGGATGGAGTCTTTAGATTCAGTCTTGAATGAGACCTTTGTTTAAGTAACAAATAGAAATATTTAATATAACGACTTAAATGGATAAATACAAATATAGATACTGTAAATGATCAAATCAAATACAATTTCTCTGAAGAAGCAATTACATGGAACTATTCCGATATTTCCAACTATCTATCTTATCTCTACCTTAATTCTACCTATCTCGCGGAGAGAGTTTACAAGATTTCTACAAGTTATACTACTTTAAATAATTCTTTCCTCTTTCCAATATATTCATATGTGAGAGGAGGGTCTTCTATGGATGTATAGCACTTCGTATGGTTCATTCTGTCCGATAGGAACTGAGCTCATTCGTATGCTGAACTGCTATCAGTTATATGGTCAGTACTGCTTCCGATGAACTGCTATAGGCCTAATTAGTATGGCGAATTAAGGTCCCGTTGAACCTCTGATGAACTGCCCCGAATGGTGGGAAAAAAATCTCTTTTATATCGGCCTCCTCGGACGGCCCAGTAACGTGTGCAAAGACCTCATTTTTGACTTATCTCATGAGTCGGCCGAAAGAAAGGAAATCAACTTCCTTTCTATAACGAAAGTATTGTACTTGAATCCGTTTTTTTGAATAAATTCGTTAAAGTTAGAAAATTATTAAATTTCTATTTAAAACTTAAATTGATCTTTTTTTTCGCTAATTTCTTTAAAATTGACTCCCTCATAATTCTAGATCACACACACATATATATATATATACAGTGAAAACTGCTTAGGCGACCACCTGCATTCGACGGGCACCTGTCAAAACGGGCAAAAATGCCTGGCACGGAATAGTTTATCCATAGAGTCTTCGTATAAGTTACCTGTATTAAACGACCACCTGTGTAACGCGACCGCGGGCATCGATTTTCGGTCCGAAACAACATACAACACCTGCAATAAGCGACCACTTTCGCGAATATATCTGGTCTAAACTATTGTAAGAACCCATCTCAACAACGTTTCCACCTCCTAATATAATGAATTAGTCTAAACTCTCGTTCGAACCCATCCCGG